AAACACACTATTGTGACCCTCTTTGTATGCTGTCCTGAGGAAGAGTCTCACATTTAAAGGTGTAAAACCTAGACATATTGAGTGACCTTTTCTTAATGGAGAGAAATTTTTGGGTAAGGTGCACATTTCTATGAATATTTTTGTATTAATACCAACTTTCAGAACCTGATTGAGGAATAAGAAAAATAACCATGGAGAATTCACAGTCTTCCCTGGCCTGTCACTCATAGAGAAAGAACTGTTTTTCTGCAGACACCTGTGAGTTAGTGCTCTCCTATCATCAGACCATTATCCTGCTCTCTAGCCTTGGGTGAGTAGAACAGTCAGATACTGAACTGACATTCTACTTGGAGAATATTTGGCCTTACAGCTTTGTACATGTTCGAGTGTTCTAGAGAAGAAACACTGTCTTAGTGTTTGTTACTGTGTTCTGAAATGTGGGACTTAGGAGTCAGGCAACCATTGAATCTTTTTGAAGCTCAGTTTTCTTATCTTTGAAATAAAGGAGTGATACTTTGTCATCATTAGCTATCTTTGTGCTGCTGTGAATTTTAAGATTCTATACAAACTATTTCTTATGTTTGATATGCAGAAGAGGAGGTAGCTGCTTTATTTTTATTTTCTGTGTCACTCAAGTTAATGGTCTATGCAGGTGCATGGCACTAGTTTTATTTAGAAATATGTTTCAAGAATATATGAACCAGTATATTAAATTAACTTTATATTCATTAAATTTTTAATTAACATTCCAGTGTCACCTGAAAGGAAGACATGGTAATTCATACTATTTTAAACTTTCTTATGTTATTATTCTTAGCAGCATTCATATTTTGAAGGATAAAAGCTTTAAAAAATATCTGTTAAGTACATATCAAAAGAAAAATAATTTCACCTTGTATTAATGTGAATAAAGCTTATTAAAGAAAAAGAACAGACTGCAAGAAGGGAATGTTTAGAACGGGAACATTCTGAGAATCCACATTAAAGATTTTGTCTCGTCCGTTATTTTGGTCACATGTAAAGTGTGACATCAATATCCCATGGCTGGGCTGAGGTTTGGTTCAGATTGTACTTATAGTCTGTCCTGCTGGTTTGAAGCCAAATTCAGTAGCAGCTTGGAACAGTTCTTAGTAAGTTACTGGATAAGGCCTTTTCTGAACCTTCCCTCCTAATCTGGTGTTCTTCTTCCTCCTTCTGAACCACCTGTTCTGGCTCGAGCTGTGGCTAACACTGTCTTCCTGCCCTGCTTTCTGCTCACTGTCCCTGCTATGACAGCTCTCCGCATCTTTCTTTGCCTTTGCTTCTGCCTCTCTCTTCTCGCAGTTGCTAACCAAGGTTTCTCCGTGAAGGCTTTTTCTGTCTGCACGTTGAACTTCGCTTTATGTCACCTGCTCTTTTTTCTGCCACCAAGAGTTGTGACCCTGGTGCTAAGTTGCTTATGGTTTTTTATATATCATCCTTAATTAACATTGTCTCTTGAATTGTAGGCATGGGTCTTCCTCATTTCTATGTTCCCCTAAAATCATTTTGTTTTATGATGATAAAGGATTTCATAAAAATGAAATAGGCATTTTCTTTAAACATTTTTTATGTTTATTTAACTGTTTTATGTGTATGAGTATTTTGCCTGCATGTATATATATGTATCATCTGCACACCTGGTACCCAAGGAGGTCAGAAGAAGGTTTTGGATCTCCTGGAACTAAAATTACAAATGGTTGTGAGCCTCCATATGGTTGCTGGGAATTGAGCTCAGATCCTCTGGAAGAGCAACAAGTGCTCCTAACTGCTGAGTCATTTCTTTAGCCCCAGACATTTTCTTTGGGCATGATTATTGGCGATCTTTTAGATACTTGGCTGTGATTCTACATGGTATAGTGAAGGTTCTTAAAAAGCACAATGTTAACTGTTATGTAGAGTTTGATAATGAAAATGGAAAGATGTTTTCATTTGATAGGGAGTTTTACAGTCACTATAAAAATGTATTTGTTTGTAGTGAAGTGCTTATCCATAAAGTAATCAGGTGGCAGAGAGGGGTGACTAGTCCCTTGAATGTACTGTGAGTCAGCCAAGCTTGGATCTTTAACAAAATTCTTTGAGCAAGGGGTTTTAGAATTCCAAGTGGGAAAATTTTATCAAAAGACTCAAGTTCCCGAAACAAAACATTTACAAGGGCTCCTGAAATAGCAAATATATAGGTACCACAACCGATCAAAATGCAGAGTGAGTGTGGAGCCTGGTCCCAATGGATGCATCTACAAAACACTCCCACGTCTAAGGCTCAGGGAACATTGTAAAAGAGGTGGTGGACAGATTGTAAGAGCCAGAGGACCAGGGAGTTTGCTGTGAAGTTATGTCTCCTAGTAATGCCAGAAGCTATACCGATAAATACTCTCCTCATGACCATCCAAACCTGAACTGAGCAAGGATGATACTAATGAACATGCCTCAGCCTTACACAAGGACTACAAGCAAGTGAATAAAACTGGGAGTGGGAGACATGCCCTCTCCAGACAGGACCACACCAATTGGTTGTCCACTGCCAAATGGTCAGCCCTGAAAACATACATATAGGTAACATTGTATAGACTCAACAGGTTATAGTTAGGCATATATATATATATATATATATATATATATATATATATATATATATATTCAAATATATATATACATACAATAACATTTAATTAAACAGGAACTTATGAATTTGAAGGAGAATTGCGTGGGGTATATGGGAGGGTTTTCACAGAGAAAACAGAACGAAGAAATGTTATAATTAAACTACAATCTCAAACCCGGCGGTGGTGGTGCACACCTTTAATCCCAGCACTCGGGAGGCAGAGGCAGGTGGATCTCTGTGAGTTCAAGGCCAGCCTGACTACAGAGTGAGTTCCAGAACAGGCTCCAAAGCAACACAGAGAAACTCTGCCTTGAAAAACCAAAATAAATAAATAAATAAATAAATAAATAAATAAATAAATAAATGAATGAATGAATGAATGATTTAAAAAATAAATTACAATCTCAAAAATAAAAAAATAGTAAGTTTATACTTACTTATTTATTAACCCTTATTGTACTTCCCAGAAGTTTTCAATGTGCCTTTTTATCACAAGGACCTAGCTCTACTAGTCCCAGTTTTTTTCTTCCTACTTTGAACCTATGCCCTGAAAAAGTTGTCAAAAATGACAACAGATATATGCTGGGTATGGAGACAAGTCACTTCTTTTTTTTAAAAAAGATTTATTTATTTATTTATTTATTTATTTATTTATTTATTTATTTATTTATTTATTATGTATACAGTGTTTTGCCTGCATGTATGCCTGTAGGCCAGAATAGGGCATCAGATCTCATTGTAGATGGTTATGAGCCACCATGTGGTTGCTGGGAATTGAACTCAGGACCTCTGGAAGAGCATCCCGTGTTTTTAACCTCTGAGCCATCTCTCCAGCCCATCACTTCTTGATTACAGTCTAAAGTCATGCCCATAGACTGGTCTGCAAGTACCTTAGCTTTTTCAGTTGCTAGGGTAGCAAGAGACCTGGTTTGGTGCATAAAATATGGCACCCAAGAATGCAGTAATAAGAACAGCAACAACTTCTAAATTGATGCTCTTGAAAAAGAGTTGAAGACATGCACATTTAATTTTAAAAGGAGCAAAGTATATAGTTGATTCTAGGAGGTTTAGACACTTGAGTCTGTTCACTGTTCTTAATAGCATAAAACCAGTGTTGCTGAAAGCACTGGATGAATGAGTGATACTCACGTACAGATATGCCCATTTACTTGTCAGTAATGAAATGCTTTGTAAAATAGCAGATATGCTTTTGAATCAACATGTCTACTTAGAACTTATGTGTGTTCGTCACCATTTATTGCTGTGAAAGAATACTACAGGAAATCAGTTTATAGGAAGAAAATTTATTTCAACTCGGGCTGCCAGATGATTCTGTCAGTGGTATGTGGGCAGCAGTGCAGAATATCATGGTAGAGCAAAACTGCTCACATCTTGGCAGCCAGAAAGGAGGGAAGAGGAAATTGGAAGCAATAGAGGGAGGGTCCAGGGACAAAGTACACCTCTCAAGGACATGCTTTCAAGGGCATACTTGCTCCAGTTTGTCCTGCTTCCTAGACTTCTGTCACTTCCACATAGCCAATCTATTTATGAAGTCACTAATGGATTAACCCATTGATGAAGTCAGGCTTCATAAACTGATTTTCTCATAGAATTCCCAACTCCAGATTTTGTTGCACAGGGGAGCAGGTTTTCAACTCGTCACCCTTTGGGGGTCATTTCAGATCCAAACTGTAACATTATGCTATGGAGTGTAGATTTCACATCAAAGTTTATGTATTTTGGAAATACTTTTTTGAAATATTCAAGAATGTATATAAGTAAACATGTGTACAAATATGTACATTATGCATGTGTATGGATGCATACATCACCCAATCATGCTTGCTGTGTGAAGGATGACAGCAAACATAAGAAACCAATAATTGTGGGTTGTCTAGGGCGAAGAAGTAGACAGTAAGTTTGGGAATTTCCAGGGTATGAAGTATTTTACCTTCTTCTCTCCTGTTGGAATTGTTCTGAACTGAACTTTGTTTTTATCTTAGCCAAAGTCTCAGAAAGAATATGTGAAGTTTTATGTCCTTTTTTATTAACATTTTAAACATATGACTTGTTTTAAGACTTTGTCTGTCTATTTGGAAAAGATTTTTGCAAGTGGTTCATATGAATGTTGCAAATTCTGTATGTTTTTTTTGGTAACACGATGATAATGGAAGGCATTAATAAACACATACATTAGTGGTATGAGAAATAGTCATATATAAGTTTAATGATGAATGTTTTCTTTAGCTCATTGCCAGAAAATCCTGGTTTATGTTAGATGGTCTTGTTAATTGGAGAACTTAGGTGCACTGACATCAATTTCTAAGGCTGTGTCAGTGAGCAGGAGCATTCACAAAGATTTTCCTCACTGTTACAGAAAAGCTCAAGAGGAGAATAAGAAAATTGTCCTAGCTGGCTGTGTTCCTCAAGCCCAGCCTCGTCAGGACTACCTCAAAGGATTGAGCATCATCGGGGTAAGTGTGGACCTGACAGGTAAATAGAACATCATGTCATTTACTCATTTTAGTGCTTCTTTCTAGTTTCTTTAGGACTTTTTAAAGCATACTGTCTTCATCTCCTCTGAAACTTTGTCCTGTATGTATGACTTTTCACCCCAACACATACACACAACACACCCCATGTTGTAGGTTTTCTCACAGAGAAACTAGCACTGCAAAGAGCCACACTATGAGGTTTATGCCTTATAATGACCTCGTCTTCATCCCCTGTTATTGCTCTCTAAATCCTACCAAATTCCCCACCTTGCTGAGCTACCCGCTCATCGTCCCCAGTATGTAAGTTTTTAGAAAGTCCTGTTGTGTTCTCCTGACTTCTGGGTCTCCTCTTCAGTGTAGCCCGCACTGCACAGCTCTCTGCTGCTGCACAGTCCTCCAGGATCCCATGTCTGGGTGCTTTTGCTCACTGTGTACATGTTGCAGTGTCTGTCTCACCACAGAATTAGGTTCTGAAATGTGATTGTACACTTAAGTGATTTTTTTTTTTTTTTTTTTGTAAAAAGCGCATGGCTAGGGTTGGGGATTTAGCTCAGTGGTAAAGCGCTTGCCTAGCAAGCGCAAGGCCCTGGGTTCGATCCTCAGCTCCAAAAAAAAAAAAAGCACATGGCTGCAATGTAATTATTCATCCTTTCAGCCTGTCAGCTATGAGTTCAACCTTCTCACCCCTTTGACAAGTATGTGTTTCTCTACTAATGCACACGTAAGTGCACACAGTAAATGTTTGTTGACTGATTTGACCAAAAAATTTTCCTTTTATACTTTTTTTCTTTGGCTTAACTGTTGGGCAGTCAGTCCTGAGAAGTCCAGAGACTTGTCTGTTTGCCTTAGTTCACAAAATGACCCAGTGCAGAGCTTCTTAAACTGTGGGTTGTGACCCCATAGGCGTGCAAATGAATGGGATGGGGATGGTCATGAAAAATTGGGCAAGTGTGAAACATTTCTGAATGCTTACCAACTAAAAAGAAGTTCGAGTCACTATAGCTACCCTGCAGTGTCTCTGGCTGTGCTTGCCCGTGTTGCATCACGTGACTTCACTGTAGCCTTGGTTCTGAACACATCTGTGTACTTCAGACTGAGCATGCTGTCAGGTCCCATGGTGGCAATGAACACCTCTGTCAGATTCCAGACCATGAGTACTGTGAGCTGCAGTGCCTTTACCTTACTGTACATACAGTGCTTTCTGAACTTCCAGAAAGCAGTGGCTGAACTGCAGAAAACAAAGCTGTTTGTCGTTTCCCTGCTGTACTTCTTCAGCATCTGTCTAATCAGTATGTCTTTGGATTGTGTTGTTTTAGACAAGCAAGCCCTTCTGTGTCATTAGTATGCAAATTTGCTTTCATTTTCAGTAAATGGTAAAATTATACGCTGATGAAATGTTTTAAAATTTTTCTATTGTTACTGGGCAGTGGTGGTGCACGCCTTTAATCCTAGCACTCAGGAGGCAGAGCCGGGAGGATCTCTGGTCTACAGATCCAGGACAGGTACCTAAACTACACAGAGAAACCCTGTCTTGAAAAAAACCAGAAATAAACAAATCAATCAATAAATAAAATAAAATAAATTTTTTCTATTACTTATTGTCAATAAATGTTTGGTTTATATACTTATTTTATAATGTATATCTTTATTCTCAGGTTCATCTAAAATTATTTTAGGCAGTCACAGTGGAAAATGTTTAAGAAGTTTGCCTGAGAGTATAATTGGGTTCTTTACCACATGGTGGCAGTTTTTCCTTCCTGCCATTTGACTGAGTATCTGCTCAAGAAGCTTACCAATGATCTTGAAAATAAGGCTTTATTTTATAGAAGGGCAGGTGAGGTGGTTCAGTCGATAAGGGTGTTTGCTGTCAAGCCTAATGTCCTGTGTTTGATCCCCAGAACTTTTAGGATTAAGCACTAAATAAATTAACATTCAATACTAGAATGCAACCAGAAACCAAGGAATTCCTTAAGAAATGTTGCTTTATCATTCTACCCATTGGCTTGTCTATCAGGCTGTTTAGGAAAAAGATGGCCTAGATGCATGCCAGACCGGCACCTCTGACAGTTGAGTGCCCTTCACCTGGTCTCTAGTGACACAGATGTGTGAACTTCTCTTCTAGTCAATCGGCAAGTTGTCTTTGAGGTGGTCATTGGCTCCTGTCAGCTGAGCTGCAGAGTGGACGCTGACTTCCAGTGGCTCAAGCCTGTGTGTTCCATATGGCTGTTTTACTTCCAGCTTCAACATTGAGTGTTTCAGCTGAGTGTGTAGTGACCACCAGTGGTTGGTAACTGACACAGTGGACCGCACAGCTGGGGGTGTCCCTGTCTCTGCAGAAAGTTCTACTCTCAACAGTTGGGAGGTGTGAGAACAGCACTTTTCATTTGCTTTAGGTGCCAACGTGTTGGTTTGTTTCCTCTTTACATGTTTAGTTATGAATCTCAAGTCTTTTCTGAGAGCAGGGTAAAATATTTTTATGGGCTGTTTGAAAGTCTCTCATCAGAATGACTCATTAATATTATTTATGAATTGTTTGTTCATCAACTCCTTTCTTCCTTGTTGAGAACATATGGAGTCAGTAAGAGAACATGCTGCATGTCCCCCCCCCCCCACCCCCCCCCCCCCCCCCCCCCCCCCCCCCCCCCGTATATTTATAATTAAATGCCCAAATGGTACAAGATACTGTTTTACTTATTTTATTTGAATTATATTCTATTGAATAAGCTTTTGTGTGTTCGGGGCTGTAATTTATGGTGCTGAGAATAGCTTTCCTCTTCTCCCAAAGAAAATTCAATCTATTGTGCACTCTTCAAGGGGATTTTGGGTCTGTTTTTGTCCAGGGTGTTTTCTCTGTCCCCTCCTCCTACCTGCGCTGATTTTGGCCTAACTTCCCCCTTTCTCACTCCTGCCTCTTGTTGTGGTCTCCAACTTTTTCTCTGCTTTATTTTCTCCACTGTCCTCATCACTGAACATGGACATAATAGTTTCCCCAAATTTCATACTGCGCTTCTTTTCTGCTTCTTTGTAATTAAGTAAAAATGATCACTTTCTGATTCTGCTTTTATACACACATCTCACTGGGCCTTTGTCCCTTGTGGATGCAAAGCCCCTGAAGTGTGCAGTTCATTGAGTTCTGAGGTCTCTGTCCTTAATCTGCGTGCTTCCTCAGCTGTTGTTTTTTCTGTAATGACCTTCACAGTAGAACATTTGGCTAATTTCATCTTTTTGTTTTTAGATGTAATGGTGTATTTGAAATAAAATGCGTGCATCACACAGCGCATCCAATCACAGCGTGTAGTCCTGTGGTTTGTAGTTTATTCAGAGTGTGTGACCATTACCACAAACCACTGTCAGAACACCTTCCACTCCTGGAAGAAACACAGGGCTCCTTAGGGCACCTTTCTATTTTGCCTTCGGCTCATCTGTGGGCAGTCACCAACCTTCTGCCCCTCTGAAGTCTTCTATTGTGGACTTTTCAGCTAATGGGATTGTACAGTATGAGGACCACCTGGTTTCTCACTGTGTGTAATGATGTAGTAGGTCTCATTGCTCCTATCCCTTTTATGACTTAATGTTTCATTATCAGTCGGTGGATATTTGAGCTCACATCCTATGGCCGATATGAATATTGCTGTGAATATTGCTTTGTGCACAGGTTTTTGTGTGTATAAGTTTCGTTTCTGTTGAGTAGATTTAGGACTTCTGGATTATATGGTAACTGTCTTTAACAGTTTGAGGAAGTGTCAGACTCTATTCCAGGCAGCAGCAGCAGCAGCAGCAGCAGCAGCAGCAGCAGCAGCAGCAGCTGTCCACAGCTGTCGAACAGGCCCCATGAGCTGGGACCCTCCGCCCTATGGGGACTAGTGTTACAGCTCTCTGGTGGCTAATGTTAAAACGCTCAGGCCCAGGTCACTTGAGACCTTTGCTTTTAAGGCTTGGCAACTCTTTGAACTTGTTCACTGGTGGAGGCCAGAGTTCTTTTGCTCTCACCAGCTGTCTGTCTGTCTTCAGTCTCTGTTCACTGCTCTTCCTTGCCCTCTCTCTCTCTTGTCATCCTTCATTTTCTCTCCTCTCTTCTCTTTGCTTTCTACCTTGGCCACTCTGGAATTCTTCAGCTCTCCTCCCATTGCCGTGGCTCCTGCTGCCCGCAGGGTCCCCAATGCCTCCGTCCCCATTGCTGCCTTGCTGTGCTTTGGCTGGCTTCTAGCTTCTTTACCTCTCGTTCTTCTGAAGAGAAAGATAAAAGTAGGCAATGGAGTGGTGGGAGAAGCATTTAACTGAGGCTAGTGTATCTGAGAGCAGCACAGACCGGAGCCTCCTGACCAACAGGAAGTAGGCTGCTTGTCTATCCTGAAGGCAAGGGTGTTTGCACAGCCATGGCACAGCCGTTCTCACAAGTTCAGGTCTGTGTTTGTGCCAGTCACAGGCTTTCTGCTGGGCTAGCAGGGGAAGCGCTAGGTGAAAATGGTTGCTAGATTTGAATTTTGTGATGAGAAGTTTGGTGTGAGCTGGTTAAAACAGTCATGTCTGGGCCTTTGCCTTCTGGAGCTGGAGTTGTGCTTTGGTGGCAAGCAGATGTGGGTGCTATACACTTTTTTAAGGCCTCAGTGGAGAGTTCTGAATAGTTGACACTCCAGCTGGCTGCTTGACTCAAGGCAGCCAGGGCACCAGGGAAGGATCTAAATTGTCAATTAGTTTCTAGACCTCCGTTATTGTAGCTTAAAGGAAAAACAAACATGGGGCAGGTACTTCAGTAAATGCTTAACATCATTAACATTAATTTCAAAGTAGCTAACGATAATTTAACAACGCTTAATTCCTGCTTCAGTGTCCCAGAGAGTGGATCCTTCTAATCTGCCTCAAAACCACCATTCAGTGCAAGGTTCTCATGGTCCTATGGCTCTGTTTTCCTTAAGGAGTTCATAGTTTAGCTTCTCAACTCTGTAACTGATAACCACCACATTACACTGCTCTCCTGG